AGTCGTTGAGGAATATTTTGTCTCGCGGGTGTTAAGCTCACTTCCATTTTGAGTGAAAGTGAGTGAGGAAGTGATTCAAAAATCTATCCCACGTGAATTCCGTTTCGCCATTTGTCGTTTGGTTTATATTCTCTCTAAGGCAATCTTCTTCGAGTTCGGTAAGAATGTGCTTAGTTTTTTTTAAGCAACTTGATAGGTATTATCAAAACGGGAAATCATTTTTGCAACAAATTTGGGCCAGTGCCATTCTTGACCATACAATGATGATGTTCGTAATGTGGCCGACAAAAGTTTAGCATTTTCTTACCAGAATCGAAAGAGATTACCTCGATGATGAAATAGAATTTTTCAGATTCCAGAGAAGTGGGATCGACATTCGAAGGCTTCTCTTTCCCTTGAAATTGAAGCGAGATCAATAAGGATTATAAAAAAATAAGAGAAACAAGGATTAACTTTTTAATATATCAACAAAATTATCCAAAGACTTTTGACCTTGAGATACCATTTGGCTATTCACTGAAGAGTTTTACTTATATTCTCGTTGGCGCTATAGTTTCTGAATTTGGTCCTTTCTCAGGGAATTGAACAAATACAGAGGCACAATGGCGAGTTTTTCTTCATATCTGAAATGGTCTCTTTGCTTCTGCTAGGGTACATTATCGGCTCCGTCAATTCTTTAAGAGGCAAGACAGAAACGGCGATTTCGTTGGGCCAATAAGAGTATAACTTCCATAATCAGCGAGAACCTTTTTATTGGCCTACAAGTGATGGACGAGGTGTCCTACGAAGTGTGAACTACCTGATTGCCTTGGAATGACCAAGGATCAACGGGTAAGGCGTGATTAAATTCAGTTGAGACTTTTTGTTCAATCGAGTACAATAGACTTAACTACAAACTCCTCATATTTCGATAATAAACAATAGGGTCCTAAAAGCACTAACACTTTACATGCAATCAACCAATCACCTCATGATGCAGGTCAAGAATAAAATGACCTACGGACCATCTGCATTGCTCTTGTGGAATTTGGAAACTGGTTTAATGGGAAAAAGTAGGCCGCTGGAAGGTGGCTTCCGATTCTCACTGTAATTTTCGTAATCTCTTTATATTTGCGGACCAACTTTAAATGCAACTGTTGTATTATATTATGTGCATGTAGTTATTGATGCTTGATCACTACTGATGCCTAGTTTAAGCACTCTTTTACTATTTCTAGTAAAAGTAGGTTTCGAAACTACCCCTAATTCTGAAATAATAACTTAGTCCAACTCATTAGCCTAAGGTTACCCAAGGGCTGATGGTGACGTTTTTCGCGAAATGCTACGAGTTGGCCTCACGATTTCACTGAATTTTACTTAGTCTCACATCTTAACGGTCTTCTTATCGAGACTGGTAAACAGTTTCGAATTCGCCCAGGTCTAAGTCGGGATTCAAAACCAGTTTTTGTGCATCGTTTTGGCACGTTACCAAAGGTGATTTTCTCCAAAATTACAGCTATATTTGAATCTTTGATGAGGAAACACGAGTTTGCAATTATATTCGACAATATTACTTATGTCTGCATGAGTATGCTTAAAATAAAAGGTAATTCTTGAATTATAAATTAAATAATCTGGATCGTTTAATGTGATTTAAGGATGAATCAAAAGATTTTTAAATTCTTTACACATATATTTTCATATGAAACAAGAGGTCAAAAGATACGAGTTCAAACCCACAATGGTATGATTAGGTGATCCCGAACGTTCTACTAGCCAGCACCGTTTCATTCTCTAAAATGGCATTCTCCTCTCATTCTCCTCTCAAGTTTAAGTCCTGAGTTTTGTTAATATAACTAACGTATCAGATCTCCGTTTTGCACAGATCCTCTGTTTGATGTCGAAAATCTTCTTCGTAACTGGGTCCCATGATTTGGTATGTTGGGCCATTCTGTGGAACACCTTTTCTACTACTCCAGGGTCTATCTCTCCTATTTTTGGGCTTTCGAAGACAATCTTAGTCGGCCCATTGCAACAATATTCGGTGGAATGCACTTTGGAGCATGCTGAAAAGCTGAGTTCCGAAATGTCCGCTATTACACTTATGTTGATGGACTATTAACTTGGTATAAGAATTTTGTTGAGGAAAACTCCTTCAGTTTCCGTTGGGGTAGATTTTTACAATTTCCGCATATATATTTTCAAATAAAATAAAAGGTCCATTAATGAGAGATCAAACCTTCTGATCCACGATGCATCCATGATACTATAGCAAGAATCGTTTGGGAAGATGCTAAAACTTTGCTGATTATGCCAGAGTCGGATTAATTTCAATGAGAATCTTTGTACCCTAGAAGAATATAGAATCAGTTGCAATCAGGGAAAGCCAAAGATGGTTCTCGCTTTTGGATTGACTGTGCTTTGGTCGCTTCGGTATCTGAAGACCTGCTATTTAAGACGCATGCTACTAATTGTGACCTCTTCTAATTGTTTCACACATTTTTAACCCTTATGATGTATGAAGGGAAAATGGGTTTCGATGAGTTAATTAATAATGGCATATTGTTATAATAATTATTTCGTTTTGTGAGAAGGGTGGAAGGAATTCGTGTTTGGGCCTATAAACAAGCCGAAACAGGATAGCGAAAAAATGGAGCCTTCGGATTTGGGCAAAGTAGTTCTCGTCTAAATGTCCCACGAATCCGATGAGCTTTCGTTTCTTTCGAGGTGAGAGACATCGTCAGAAACAGGAAACTGCATTATAAAAATTCACAAGAAAGAAGGACTGCAACCAGCAAGCTTTATTCGCTTGGTGATTAGTGAAGCTTCTTGAAGAATGGCAATGTCTATTGCATGGCTGGCGTAAGCTTAGCATGGATTCAAAGGGAGTGGGAGAAGGTGAGCCGAGGACGTTTTTCACACAAATATACAATAGCAGCTCCTATAAAATCCTCTTTCGGTTGTCAGCACAGCCACAATATGACTCTCCTCTTAATTAAATTAACAATCACCACCGATACTGTCAGCAAAATGAAAACGTTAATCCTTTTAACTTGGAAGATAATAAGTACCAAACTCTCAAGTTTTCGAGCTCACACTCTAACAACTTCGCTTTGTTGATTATTGAACCATTCTGCACTGATAAAACTCAAGTTGTTTGCAGAAAAGTGCCGATTTCCATCATATTAGTCTAAACTACGAATTGGAAAAATCTTTTGTAGATGTGGAACAACCTTAAATCGAAGATAGCATAAGCAAAGTCAATTTAGTTACCCCGGACTCATAAATTGACTTAAGAATGGATATAAGTTGTTTAACCTTGTTTTTCCAACTTGGTCATACTGGCAGGAAGACCTTGAGGAATCCAGCTTATACATAGTCCAGAGTATGCATGATAATTTTTTGCCAATATGACCAAGTTGCGAAAACATGAGCAAATAACTTCAATATAACGAAAGAAGACTGCGACCATACAAAAGGTCTTGATACCTTCGATTAAGAATGGATAGTTGAGATTTTCCACTGTGATCTTAGTAGGACTCAGGTTGCCATTTTATTTTGCATACCTTTGCAGCCCAAAATGCTATACAATCCAGATTTAGCTGAAATATTGAAGCTTGTCTCAACGTCTAAGCAAGAGGGATTCGATAGTGGATTGTGAGTTTCGAGGCCAAGAAAAGACTCTATACCAGCAAACAACCACGGGTGCCAATGAGTCATAGGGTAGATGAAGCACACAAGGCTAGCCAAGCATCTCGCTAATTTAATTAATAGGGGCAATGCCCAGTAAGCAGACATGTATAGGCCATTTCATTTGAAGAATTTATTTATTTTTATATAAATAGGTTAAACGTCTACTAGTATTCGTGATTAAGAATTTTGGAGCAATAGGCCGAAACCAGCTACAAGTAATAAGTAAAGGATTGTGCCATTATTCAGACAATCTGTAGTTCGGAAATATGAACTAAATCACAAGATGCCACTTAAGTTGATAAAGGATGGAAATTAGGTTTAACAGAATAAGATAGATAGTTATCATGAAGAAATATAAGGCAAATTAAAAAAAGATAAATTAAAATAGAAAATAAGCCTTGGGCAAAGAGACATGGTTTTATCAAAAACAGGTAACGTTATTAAAAATAGATAAAAGAAAACAGATTGGATAATTAATTTTGAAATAGTCAATGACAAATGTTTAAAATAAAGAAAAAAAGAAGAAAAAGAAGGCAAATAAACAAATGAGAAAGTATAATAAAATTTGCTATGTAATGAGCAAGGAAGAGAAAAGATAAGATGAGATAAGATGGGAAGGGATTAGAATAGATGAGATTAAAAGAGATGAGATGGGATAAAATGAGATGAGTTGCTATGATATTGGATGAGATAAGAAGAGATGAAATACGAAATAAAGAGAAAAGGTTAGATGAGATTAAATGGGAAAAGATGAGATAAGTTTTAATGATATTAGATGAGATGAGATGTGATGAAATGAGATGAGATAAGATAAGATGAGATGAGATGAGATGAGATGAGATGAGATGAGATGAGATGA